CCTCTCTGCTTACTGGTCAATTTTGCCCATGCAGCTGCTGTCCTATGTCAACTTGCTTCCTACTAAAAGCCACAGATCCTTCTGTGCAGCTGTTTGCTACCCAGCATTTTAGTGACTAGCTTCTACCAGTGAGTGGGGTTATTCTGTCCCAATGGAAGGACTTGTATTTGTCATTGATAAGTTTCAAGGAAGGTATTTGTTGAATATAAAGTTGTTGAAAATGATCATTGCAAAACCAGAATAAAATTAAATAGCAAGGATCTGGCAAGCCAGTACTTCGTTAAACTAAGAAGTGGAAAAATTCAGAGATCATTTGGTATTCTTTGCAGAGCTTACAAGCACATTACATCAGCTACCAGATCTCTGGAGGGCACTTCTCATGTAAAGAGAAAGAACTGCATGGATTAAAATTATGCTGGTTATGTTTGGTAGGTTTTAAGACAGAGTAGGTGTGGGAAGCATTGTTACTAAAGCAGCTAATACACAAGTTAGTAATCAATGCAGAATTGGTAGGTTGTTGTCCCAGACTGAGAGCTACTTTTGCCCAAAAGACCTAGTTATATCTATTATATTCTTCTTTCTACAAATACTACAAAAATTTGATCATTAAATCCAGAAAAAATCCTCTTAGATCAAGGTATTATGTGACACTAAATGTGGGGTTTCAGAAAACAATTTTATTTCCAAGATAAGCTGTTTGTTGCTGTTCATAGTCACAGTACCTGCATTATCAGACCAGTGATTTACCACAATACTTGTGTTTTTTAGAAGGAAGAAAATGTCTTCAGGCTGAGTCATCAGCTAAGAAAGTCTTTTATGTATAAAAATTATTTCTAGGTTTGGTATTGTAATGTCTATGAATCTGTATCTAAGGTTAACACAATGGTAAGAGTAGAAAAGTATTCACCCTCCAGAGATCATTCAGTCTAGATTTCATATAGAGGATCATATAGGAATTCAAAATAGACCAGGGAGACCATTAGAAATCATTGAGGAGCAATTGGCCTCTGTAAAAGGTGTCAGTGAATACGAGTGCCTGGTACCTGCACTCTCATGGTACACATGCAAAAAATAAAAACAAAATATTTTAAAACAATCACTAAATGCTGAGGTGTTGAGATTTTTTTTCTAATATTGAGGTGGATAGACCTCCGACCAACCTGACTGAGTTAAAGCTGTCCGTACATATTACAGGAGGTTTGGATTGTGTGTCATTTTAGAAGTCCCTTTCAACTCAAATTATTCTATGATTGCATGCAAAGTACAAAAAAAGAATGGAGGTGTCTGTCTGAAAAAGGTGCTGACTGATGCTGTGAGGAGTGATCTCGTGGCCAGCTGAACAGGAGTCAGCTTTTATGTACTGCTAACCGTGGTGACAGCAGTGCAGCTCACAAGGGCCCTACACACAAGATCCCAAGGGAGAACCAGGGACAGGATGGTCGGAAGGAGCATGGCATCCTGAACAGGTATAGCTGGGAAAGACTAGCTTTGCTCCCACAATAAAACTTAAGAACAATCTGAATGGAAAGACAGAGAAAAATTGGGTAGAAAAGTATACCCAAATCAGAGCCCAGAGAATTAACCTAAAATCAGTCTGTTTCTGACTGATAAAACCAAAGAGATAAGGCAAGCAAGCAGAAAAAGAGTTAAAGTAACATCTTTAGGCCTGAGCCTACAGCCTGTCCCATGAAGGTACAGTCTTGCCTCATCAGTGCCGGAACCCAAAAGGCCAGTGTGAATCCACTTAAATGCAGGAGGTGGCAAGTCCAGCCACGTTATATATACAGCAGGGAAAGGGACATCTTTCTCTCGTGCTTCGTGACGTGTCACTATAATCTTGGATAAAAAAGACTAGTCAACTGCCTTTTTCTTAAGAAAACCACTTACTTGAGATGAAAAAAGTATTGGTTTATTATTTAATTCAAAAGACAACTTGAGGCTAGTTCATGGCACAAGCACACTTGTTATGCTCTGAGACATTGCTGGTGATCGATAAACAGTGATTTCAAGCTCATGCAAGGGTCAATATAGAGGATTTGGGGAAATTCTCCTTGTGAAAGTGAATTTTTAAAAATAAAAAATGCATCAGGGAGGCTCAATAAATATTGTCGTATGTTTTTAATTAGCTCAAGTTCTCTAGAAACTGTCATGGCATGATAAACTAGAAATCAGTTTTTACAACTAAATCAATGAATGCTTTTGCAAAGACAAATTAAAATATTCTTACTTTGTATCTAGTCTAGAAAATTGCCTAAAAAATAAATATTGTGTATGTGTACTGATTTTACCTTACAACTCTTAGCATTAGTCCTGTGACTTTAATATTCTAATAATATTAGAATCCTCTGGATTATGGAATTCTAATGAGAAAAAGAATTATGCCTGTCTGGAAGACCCCAGTTAGGATGTAATTATAAGGTGAAATCACAAGTGCAAAGTAATTGAAATGCATGGTTGTGAGGGCTCAGTTTTGACAACATAAGAAAGCTTTCACTAAGCATTCACTGGTATGATGAATATTTTGTGTAATTAAGGTTATGCTTGCTACTGGAAGCAGTATATCTACTCTGTTTATAAGCCATATGCACATTAGTGTACTGATGACTTGCAGCTTATGATATACTTTTAGTAACAATGGGCAAGAAATATATTTTTTTGGTGAAATTATTGCTTAAGCTGTCATGTGTTGTAATGCCCTCAATACACACTGGGAAAAAAATTACTTATCACAATTCTGTCCTGCTTTTGTATGTTAATCTTTTACTACATAATTATTTGTTTGTTAATACCACAACAGAGAGGCTAGTTTTATATTATTGCAAAAGGAAGATACATTACAATTTCTATATTTTAGGCATGAGAATACATTACTTGCACAGCTGAGTTTTCCAGAGCTGTTACCTTAATTTTGTCAACAAGCATCATTTATACACACACATGCATACACACACACACACAATGGCATATTTAACAGCTTCTGTACTGAATTTAGTTAAATATTTACAGACTTATTCCAGTACATCTCAAGGCAGCATCATGAGAACTCTAGTGACAGGGAAATCCTCAGCCTCCTTGACATGGGTCAGACCCCAACAAGTGGATGTGAATACTCATGGCCCCTACTACCATGGAGACAATACTCCCCACTCCCAATTCCAAACACCTCCATAATATTTAATGCAGTTGTTTAGAAAGAATACTATTTGTAATACAATGCAATACAAATTAATTGGCGATTTGGGGGTTACTCTTATATTTTATCACCCTGGAGAACAAAGACAACTTTGATCTTTCATTTTTTGAGAAGGCTGCATGTGGTAAAACAAGCAGGTTTATCAGTAACTAAAAATTGGGGGTGAGAATTTTTGTTCTATCAATTAAAAAATTATAAAAATTGAGGTGTACATTTTAAAGATATTATCGACTGCCAAGTACTAGATGAAAAAATCATGTTAATAAAGCAAGTTGGGCATTCATTTTCTAAGATGAAATGTTATTATTTGCACAGACTCATTGACATTCATCTAGTGATACAAGTGAGTATTGTTTGTTTCTCATCTTTCTTTAAGAAGTAGACTTGAAAGTTCACAGGTCCAAGCATGACACATAAAATGTTGGAATTTTGTGTAAACAAGCAGTACAGAAGAGATTATATGCATTCAGCCTCTTTAACCATTACATTTTAATTCTTTATCTCCATCAATTTTAAGTTTAATCATTGCACTGTATATATAGGCAAAGTAGTTCTAATAATAAATGATTAAATGGCAAAAAATAGTCCAAAGGACACAGTCATCTGAGAACTCCTCACCTGTTTCCTCTTATGCTCCTGTCACCTGGAGGGAAGCATAAAGATGTAACTGTGGGCGATGGCAGTCCACAGTATTGAAACCCACAGAGCCAAACTGCTGGTATCAATGTGTCAGGAAACTGAGCAAAACTAAAATGAGATCTGTTGCAACATCAACATGTGCTGCAAAGATGGAGGGTACAAGGTACATCTGCTAGAAAACAAAGGATTTTAAATCTCTTGGAAGTCCTCCTATTCTCCTGTCTTCAGACCCAAGTCACCTACCTACACATATACATTTCATTTCCTGCTGTATCCCAATTGCCCAGGCTCCTGCCTTCCCTCTTCTTTGGGGAACCATTTCTACAACTTTTCTCCACAGCCCTGCCCCTTGAGAGCCTTGTTTTACCTGCTGTGCCCAGGCATAACCAGGGAAGACAGTTTGAACCTAACTGCAGTGCTGCTGTTCTCACCAAGCCACACAAAACTGGCTCAGACTGCCTGTCTCCCACACCACAGGAGGGAACAAGCAAGGGGAGGAGACACACCCTGTCTTCATCAGCAGATTGGACACAAAAAGCACACCCTAGGCTCTTGTTCATTCTTTTGTCACCCTGACCCTAAGTAAACAGTGTTGTTTTTTTTTGGTGGGTTTTTTTTTTTTTTTTTTTTTTTTTTTATGTCTAGAGAACAGTCATTGGTATAAAAAGACTAAAAACAAAGAGTGAAAGGCTGTAATAGATAGCTTTTCACTAGAAGTTTTTGTATTTTCTAGATTTGATTTCACCTCACCATTTCAAAGGTTCACATGTAAAAATGTTCCCATGCAGTTCTATCATCTGCTCTTCATTACACCTATATAATTTCTACAGGACTCCAATTTTCCATATGTGGGCTGGTTTTGTAGTTTCGGTTTTTTTAGATTAGTTCATCTGGACATCTACTCCTGCATATGAGAACATAATTTGTCCCTCTCCTTATTAAGTTTTACAGTGCAGTGTTCCTCTTTAGTGATTTATTTACTGACTGACTAAGAAAACAATCACCTAAAAATAAAGCTACAATATTAATTAAATTCTTAATACTTACAATTAATTTCAATTTTTTAAATTGTATTTATATTCAAGCTTCTCTGTTGACAAATACATACTTAGTCTTACTGTAAGCAAATCTTTTAATAGCAAAAAGACACAATGAAGACTTTACTTACCAAGCCATCCTGATCCGGAATTGGGTATACACATATCTGTTTCAGCACTGGGCAACACAAATCCAACCACAAACACTTCCACTCCATCAGCCATTAGGGCCATTCCTAGCACAAAGAAGAGGGCCCACTGGAAACGACCATGGCCACATTCTTGTATTATCAATTCATATTGCTGTGCTAGCTCTTCTTCGTCAGCTTTCCTCTCTGTTTCCAGTTCACGACGATCCTTGTATTCATCACGCATAGACTGACCTAAGGCCACCATGTCATCCTTACCCTGCCCTGTGCTGGGGATTCCCTGATACTCTCCTTCATAAATTTCATCATCTTCATCATGTCCTTCAGTTGCTTCACTTGATCCTTCATCATCATTAGCTTCTACACCATAATTTCCTCCTTGACCATAGTAATCATCATCATCATCTTCCTCATCCTGGAATCGACTGTAGGATCTCTGTGTGTAGCCATCCTGGGCTTTGTCAACTGCTTTATTAACTTTTTTCACTGCTTGCCTCTTCACCTCTTTAGCAATATCTTTGGCCCCTTTCACTAGCGAAGTCCTGTCTTTGTATGTGTCCTCCATCCTGTATCAAAAGGACTGCTGCTACGCTGCAAAGGCACCTGCCAAATATTGTTTGGAATGTCTACTGCGTGTTGGACATCAGTAGAAAAAGCCCAGGTACAAGTGAAGCTGTAATACTCAACCTGTAAAATATAAGATAAAAAAGTTTATACTTCACTATTTTTAGATGCCTCTTCACACTGATACAGAATCATCCCAATCTTTATTGAAGCACTGGACATCAGAATACAGGACTTTGATTATAAAAGCGTGGATTTTCTTCAGAGATACAAATACCACAGGTTACAAGGAAAATATGCCAAAGATAAATTTAATATCTCTATCAGAGAATCTTTAGAATTCAATTTTTTACTCTCTAGTCTCAGATATCAAGTTTTATTCTGAAAGAAACCAAGCAATTCCATGCATCATACATCATATTGATTCTGTCTGCAATATCCTTTCCCATTTAAATCCTCTGTTTTATAAGAAAGGGCTACAAACACTAACTTTTCTCTCAGTGAGTTACCATGAAATATCTGTCTAGCCTTCTATTTAACACAAATCCTGTAGAAAGTTATTATTCCTCCAAATCTGTACCAGTGTCTCAAAGCTGACTGAATATGGCCAGTGCATTCACAGTGCATTCACACTGAGTCTCAGCAATATGAAATCCCACCCTAAAAAATTCAGTGTGCGGAGCTGTGTGGGCAGAAGTGGTGGCACTTTCACACTTTGAAGATTCCCAATACCTAAATAATTTTCCTTTCTTCCCTATCTATACTCAGAGTAGGGGCAGAGTGGAGCAACTGTATATTATCAGCTAATGCATCTCCCAATGTGTTAGTCCAGCAAGAGTTCCCACTAGCCAAGCTGCAGGAAAGCACCAAGACATTTTGCCCCAATTCACCTCCCTGCCCCCCTGCTCTATCCTTCCATCTTGTGCAGCCCCAAATGCAGACACAATGAGTCAAGAGCAGTTGCTTACTAGACTGCAGATTAAACTTTCACTTCTTGGTGCAGTTTTCAGGCATATCTACAGGACAAGTTGCTCACCACATATCTGCACTGTCACTAGGGATGGGAGAAAAGAAATGGCTGCAGCATGCAAGCATACAGAAGGAAAAAATGCAGGATAATTCCTTGGCAAAAGTCTGTAGTTAGAACAGCTAAAATCAATTTCAAAATTGTACTATTACTCATGTGTCTAAAATTAAGGGAGTGTGAGAGTGTGTGTGTGTGTGTGTGTGTGTGTGTGTGTGTGTGTGTGTTTGTGTGCACATGTGTGAATCTGGACACTGCAACAGATTGTAGAAGCCTCCCTTCTGGGAGAAAGCAGGCTGCAGGTTTTTAGCAGTGCTTCTGAGAAAAGACTGCCTGCTTCCAGCTTCAGGAAAAGGTTATTTTTAACCATGATCATTTTAATGATCTATTTTCCAGCATTACCTCAGAAAAACTACAGTAATGCAACTAAGGAGACAGTGAGATATGATGCAGGAGTAAAAATAGATGGAAATTTCTGAAGCTAATCTTATCAACCTTTCTAAAGCAGTGTGGACTGCCCTCAGAGCTTTATGGGAGAAGACCAAGGAATGGCTTTAAGAAGTTGCCCTTTATTCATTCTATTGCATATACTGTCTCCAGAAGTATACTCCACACATGAGTTTTAGGACCAATAGAGGGATAGGAAAAACTACAGACTGCATTAGATAAACTAAGGATGTGATGTACTTCTGATGCAAGAAAACAAAGCCTACAATCACATAGACATGACTCAGAAGCTAAAAGGTATGTTCCTAGCCTTTTAATAATAGAAATTTACCTATAGTAAAAAATGCCCTTATTTTTAGTATCTTCCTCTGGATTAATTTCATACACTTTGACTGTTTCTCAAAGAAATCAAATGTGATGGCACAATTCAACCATTAATGGGAACTGAAGCATTTACTGGAAGAGAAATGCAGCCTGATGTAATATTTATGACTGCAAACTGTAGACTGACTTTAGGTACATGATGATCCTTTTAAGTAGGTCATCCTGGTGAATTTTTTATGCCAAGGCACTTTCTCTAATTACAGCTTTCCAGTTTTCAAGATGCTCAGTAGAAGTTATCCTTCTAGCTAGAAGTATCTACTAGCTGTTAGTGAACATGCAATGCAACAAAACATTCACTGGATCTGCTGAAGACTTCTACAAATGCTTTCGAGAACTCCATGAAATCCTAACAGGTGCTTTTCTGAGTGTTAATGAGTACAGTGTGTTCCTAGATTTTAAGTAATTTTACAGTATCCGTACAACCCGTTTAACCTAAACTCTGAATCCCTCTAATTCTTAGACTGATACTGGTTTCTTTTTATTTGTCCAATAAGGGTTTTCAGTTGCAAATTTGCTACTACTACAGGATGCATATGTGTGTGTGTGTGTGTGTGTGTGTGTGTGTGTGTGTGTGTGTGTGTGTGTGTGTGCGTGTGTGTGTGCATGTTATATCTATATCTTGAAGAAAGCAGGAGTTTAGGAATAACAAATGGACAAAAAGTCTAAGAGCCAACATTAGTAAAACAATGCTTTACTCTTCTGTAGTATACCTACCTCATGAGTTCAACAGACTCCAAAAAGTCAAGTTTTCAAAAATAGCTGAACTTATGCTGCAGTTTGTGATAAACCAGGTACATCAACAAGGAATTTCACCTGTTCATACTCACTGAGAGCATAACTCTGTCATCAAAAAACATGCAAACATGCAAACAGAGCAAAATTTCTGTCTGGCAAAAATCAGAAATGTCTTTCTATCTTGCTGAAGTTTCCAAGCAAAATGCTTAATCTGAACACTGTTTTTTTAAAGAGCTTTGCTTTCTCAGTGAATTGAAATCCATGCCTTAAGGTGATAAGTACAAAGAGGAATAATTTACAGCCATGCATGATAGCTTCCCACCCTTTCAATTATGTTGGACTGATTACTACAAGTAAGTAACTGGAAAGTCTGAAAGAGTAGGGATTAATGACTACCTGAGTAGCATGAAGGAGCAAAAGCAGAGATGATAGTCTAGCTATACACGCTTCTTTGCACCAACCAGTTCAGCCAAAGTGTTCACTGACTTTCGCTAAAGCAAACACCATATTTCTATTCAATTCTTTCAACTAAAACAAAACAAAACAAAAACAAAAACAAAACAAAATCCCAGGAAACTAATGTTTCTACCAGAAACAGAAATACTTCTTCAGGAAACACAAAAAAACATTTTGTGAAAACACTCAAAGATGCATAGAAAAAATAAAAATCAAATTGTTCTTTTGCTCTAATATTTATTTGTTTCCATTATGTTACATTCACAGATATAGCATTCTGTATAGATTGTGCTACATCTGAAATAAAGGTTGGACATTACAAACTGAATCAGTGAGATCCCATAAAGATATAAACCTATCACAAATCAGAAAACTCACTCCCACAAAGACTTAGGTCTTTTCCTAACACAAGCTGTTAGAAGACTCACTGAGTACTCCAAAAAGTAGTATTAACTATGTGTATTATAAGATAATAAAGTCTTCAGATCTGGAAGTCACACTCAAATGTGCCTATTATAGATCATAACTACTTCAAATTTTACTACCTTTTCAAATTATTTTATATCCCAGGTTAAATAAAGCACCTGAACTATGTTAATTCACAAACAGAAGATGCTATTGTCTTGCAAGTGTACTCAGTAGTTAAGGAAATAAAACAACCCACGCTCAAATTCACCAAGACACCTGCAAACTTCCTCCTCATCTCTTCATGTTCAAAGCCTTCTGTTTATTTTTCCAGGGTAGTATCTACTTCAGTATGACCTACTAAAGAATAGATTCTTCAATAAAGTGTATTTATTTATAGAGGTATTAAGTTATTTAAAATAAATAAGAGCTGGCATCAAAGCTGGTGTGAAGTAGATTCATTTTGGGCAATGTTAGCAGATTAAAAGCTAAGTTTCTAAGCAAAATATTTTAAGAAAATTTTCTTTCTCTCATGTTGAGAGTCACATTCCCAGGCTGCACTCTTCTAGCTCAAGCTGTAGTAGACAGAACTGTGTATAATACTGCAAGGCTGCAGTGCCACCACCAGTGGCTGTCCCCAACACTCTCCCTGCTTGCATGGTGTTTTCACCACTGGTCCTGTACCAGCATTTGCCACTGCATCCTCTCTGCAGCACAGTACACATATGTAGGATGAGCATAGGAATTAATTTATCTAATACACATGAACAGTCCTGAGCTCAGTATAAACAGGGTGTTCATGGTACATTGCAATCTCTTTTTCCCCATTTTATTACTTTCTTTCCTCATTAAACCAGCAGAGATAACTGTTTCAGCAGCATATGCTCTACCTGCCTAGTTCCTCTTAAACTATTTAACTAATTTACCTAATTAGAACAAGACAAGTGGAATTTCTTTTAGCTTGTTTTTACTTGAAATTTCATAACCTTCATAAAAAAAAAATTAACATTCTTGCCTGAAAGTAAAATGTATATGGACATCTGCTTTTAATAAAAAATAATACCTTTAACTGTCCCTTAGAGACTTAACGTAACTCCCAAAACAAGTCTAATAATTCTTTCCTTACGGTTCTTTAGATCACTGGCCTAATTCCTTCCCATTTACAGCTGGATATATAACCAATGAAACCAGGATCTGCAAAAGCTCTCCTTTAAGCAGTAGAAAATGGAAATCTAACAGTATGATGAAATCAGACCACGTAAGACAATGAAATCATAAACCTAAGACAAAAGGTATAAACTCTGAACAGTGAAAGTCAGGAAATCTGAACTAAATAATCTGTGATTAAAATGCAATAATATTGTAAAAAAAATTCTCCAAGAAAAGCAGAATGGAAAATTATAGGTACAAAGTTAGGAGGTGGGACATTCTTTACTTTATACTTCCAATAAATTAGTCCTCCATGCTTTACTTCTATGCTCTAAATATCTTTCAAAGAATATGCTGAAGGGTGATACAATGCTGGTAAGTTTTATGAGCCCCACCATCCTAATGCTGACACAGTCATGTCTAATTCAGCTCTCTCTTACCAGTCTTCTAAACCCCTTTGATCCATAGTTCCACCTAAGGTCACAGTTAGGAGTGAAGGTTCATCTGTGCTCCACCCTCTCTT